AAAAAAAAAAAAAAAAAAAAAAAAAAAAAAACTACAAGCTCCTGAATGACCTATGGGTCCAAGAAAAAAATTAAACAGGAAATAAAAAAAATTTCTAGAAACCAGTGAAATAAAGACACATCATACAAAACCTGTGAGATACTGCAAAAACAGTGCTAAGAGCAAAGTTAATAGTGATAAATGCTTATATTAAAAAAAAAAGATTTCAAGTAAACAACTTTACAGCTAAAAGAACTAGAAAAACAAGAACAATCAAATCCCAATGTTAGTTGACAGAAAGAAATAAGATACTAATAGGACTAAATGATATAGAGACACCCCCCCCCCCGAAATGATACAAAAGATCAATGAAACAAAAAGTTGTTTTTTAAGAAGATAGACAAGATAGACAAACCATTAGGTAAGTCAATAACAACAACAAAAAGAAGACTCAAATTACAAAAATCAGAAATGAAAAAGGAGATATTACAAATGATACCACAGAAATATTAAAATACATTAGGGACTATTCCAAACAACTGTACACCAACAAATTAGAAAACCTGAAGGAAATGGATAAATTTCTGGACACATTCAAACTACCAAGACTTAACCAAGAAGAAAGAGAAAAACTGACAGAACAATAATATGCAATGAGATTAAAGCAGAAACCAGCAGTCTCCCAGCAAAGAAAAGCCCAGGACCAGATGGATTTACTGCTGAATTCTACCAAACCTTTAAAGAGGAATTAATACCAATTCTGTCCAAACTATTCCAAAAAATTGAAACAGAGCCCACTCTCCCAAACTCATCTAGGAGGCTAGCATCACCCTGATACCAAAACCAGACCAAGATACAACAAAAAAAGAAAACTACTCTTAGTAAACACATGAAAAAATGCTCAACATCACAAAGAATCAGAGAAATGCAAATCAAAACCACATTGTAATATCCTCTCATCCCAGTTAGACTATTACCCACAAGATAGAGAATAATTAATGCTTGTGAGGATTCAGAGAAAGGGGAACTCTTCTACATTGTTGGTGGAATTGTAAAGTAGTGCAGCCATTTTGGAACATGGTATGAAGGTTTCTCAAACAACTACAGAATTCTCAAACTACCATATGATCCAGTACTCCCACAACTGGGTATGTACCCAAAGGAATGGAAATCATCATGTTGAAGGGACACCTGCATTCCCATATTTATCACAACTCTATTTGCAATAGCCAGGATATGGAACCAACATAAATGTCTACCAATGGATGATTGTAAAAGGAAAATGTGGTATCATATATACACAATGGAATATTACTCAGGCATAAAAAAGAATGAAATTCTGCCATTTGCAGAAACATGGTTGAGCTTGGAGAAAATTATGTTAAGTGAAATAAGCCAGCTGCAGAAAGAAATACAGCATGTCCTCACTCATAAATGGTAGTTAGAAAATGGAAGGAAGGAAACAATCACAATAATATGTTGAACTTTCAAAAGGAGAGAATAGAACTCTGATTACTAGAGGTGGGAAAGAAGGAGGTAGAGGGGATTAGTGAGAAATTGGTTAATGGACACAAAGAATGATTAGGCTTTATAATGATAAATATATTACTTATCCTGATTTGATCATCACATATTGTACATTGGTATTGATATTCAACTCTGTACCCCGCAGATATGTACAATCATGTTTCAATAAAAAAAATAAAAACGTGGCTATAATTTTCATTTTAATAATTCTCCACTGCTCTATACAATACAGTTGAAAAAATCAACCTACTTTAGTACTAAAAATATACTTATCATGTAAAATATATATACGAGCAATGAAAATATTTTACAGCTCTGCCGATTCTTTTTATCTGTGTATTTTTATTTTTTCATTCCCTGAGCTTCTATTCATGATAAAAGTGGATACCTCTAGCTAAATACTGAGTACAAATTAAACATGTCAAATCTGATATTTTCACTAGAGATAACTCCTTTTTAAAATTTTAAATATAATGTTCTACATCATTAAATATTTATCACAAATAAGTTATTTTGCCCTTAAACTATATAGTACTTAACTAGGAATATCCATGTTTCCTATGAACCTTGACATCACCCATGTTTTCAACTGCAAAATTTTATCAGCTATAAAGAGAACGTTTCTATGCCTTAAAAAACTTGTAATGAAAATGTATTTATAATGCCTTCAAGTCATAAACCACTTCAATCCAATACAATAGTAATTTTTAAAAATCTAATGGCATTAAAAAACAGCCAAAGAAAAACTACTTTGTCATTTTTAAAAATCTGTATTTTTGACTACAAATATTTTATTTGTATTTTAGTGTGTCCCTATCTATGTCTGGCTAAAAGGTAAGACCTCAATGAACACTATCATTTTAATGCTTTATGTCTTTATTGAATAGGTTCAAAAATGACATTATCTGTAATAAAAAAAAATATAGTAGACAAGAGACAACAGTAGCCACAACAATCTTACTTTTTCAAGCTAATAACTTTTAGAACAATACACAAGTTTAGATTTTAATTTAAGCTTACAATCATTTTTATTCTACCTCAGTGGCAAATATTTGTGAAAAATAAATAAAAATAAATGATGCATAGAACAATTTCTTAACCAAACTATTGCACAACAAATCAATGTGAGAATAAAATATGAAAGTAATATAAAAATTCATTTAAATACATTGTCACAACATTTTTCCCAAGTCATAAATATACTTCACCAACTTATTGTTTATACTAATCTCTGGGTTCTGAAATTGGATGATTTCTTACCAACTCTTTTCTATGTAGTATGTTATAACATTTACTTTTTACTGTAAAATTCAATGAAAAACAAACATGTACCAATTTATTTAACTTAAACTCATCTATCTACCCCTTCCTTGAGCAGACAAAACAATTATGTGGTCTTAAAAAAATACTCAAAAGAAAATAGTGCTCAGTCTTAGATAAAACAATTTAAAGTTCTTGTTCATATGATTTATAACAATTAGGACAGAAGTTATTAAAATGGATTTCAAATACATACATTAGTTTTCTAAATTCATCACATTTATTCTGGTTGGTGGACTGAACAAATATAAACAGGGGGGAAAAATCTAATCAAAAATCAGGAAAGAAACTATAAAGTAAGTTAAATGATAACTCCTAGTACCACTAAATCTATAACCCCTGCCCAAACCAAAAATGAAAAAACAAAAACAAAACTAAATTAATAAATTTCAGAAAAATTCTAAGTCACAAATTTCTACATGGATCCTTATAGGTGATCAGAATCATAAACAAACAGTTGGAAATTATGTAATACACAAAAGATTTGCTTGTACTTTGATAATAAGATCAAAGCTTTCTTAAGTTTGATTGAACAGAAATTACTACAGAATTACTGAATATGGCTGCGCAACCTATCCAAGACATCCACTATTGAATACTAAACTACACTGAAAGTGACAATAATTAAAAGCTGTATTTTAGTTAAATTAAAGAGAAAAAATAAATATTTACATATGTTTAATTACATAATAAGTCAGCTATGTATTAAAATGATACATTTTTAGTGGCTTTGTATTATAACATAAATGATACTTCAAAATTAAAAACTACAAAAGAAAATATGAGCAAGAAAAATTAGTGTCTTAACCTACTCCTAACTACATCAAACTACTTCAAGGAGCTAAAATTCAAATACATTTTACCTGCATGCTCTGTACTAAAGATTAATCACCACAACAATTATATATTATGTGAGGTGGGCTTGTTTTCAAATGATTAAAATAATTTCTTCTAAATTCAGATACATAAAAATATTTTTAAACATGTATGATTTTGTGAGGAATTTTGTGCATCTTATGTTAATTACATTTTCAAATAATGTAAAAAATGAAGTAGTAATTAAAACCACTCTTCAGGAAGGTTTTGGAAAAGAAAGAAAAATGTGAAATCTGGAAACAACTGGAAGAAGAAAGAATATTGTTTAACAAAGAGGCAAAAAAAAATCATTCAATTATAAATAGAGTAAAACATATTTGTAATTATAGTCTTGTGTTTCTGAAAAGGAAGTTGCATAATTACATTTTCACAGAATAAGTAGAGATCTTTAAATTATATAATTAATATGGGTTCTTTTCTTTTAGGATTTTAAAATTAGTTGTTGAAGAGTTCAATAGGAAAATGACCTCATATAACTAACTGTAACTAAAAACATTCTCTTCAATTATAAAATTCCAAGCATCCCACCCTACTATGATACTATCTGAAGATAGGCACCAATAATAAAATGTTTATTCTGATTTTTTGCTCAAAGTTATGATTATCCCAAAGCTTAAAGGGCTAAGCACTGATGTATGACAGTTTGTAGAAGTATACTTAATGTGCTTTAACAATAATAGAAAAGTAATACCTAAATTAATGATTCCATCTGAAATTATTTACTGACAGATAAGTGAATATTTCTTTGAATGGCACAGTTTGGGGTATCAGGTATTATATACATATATGTACACATATATACACACACACATAACATAGCTAAAAGATTATGGTCCAGAAATCACTGAAAAGGGTATTTAGAACATTTTTAGCACAAAATAACTAGACGAAGTGCTCTAGCTATACAAGGAGCAATAATCATAAAATGCTGAAGTTGGGTTTTTTCTTCCAGGATTTTGTTCACAAAATCATTCTTCGAATGCCACATTCACAGCAGAATTTTGCCCACTCTACAGGGTATTTAGTCCCACACTCATGGCAGAATTTAGGTAAGTGTCCAGATGAATTTCCTTCAATGCCTTTAATGTTTCCGCCATTAAGTGAAGATGCATAGTCTCCATCTGGCCTAAAGAAATGTAGAAAGAAATGCTATAACAAAGTTCACATCAGTAGTTTGCAATCCATAACCCTTGAGAAACAGGACATATAATAAGTATAGCTAAAAGCCTGCTTGATCTCATTTTTAACATTCCTCTAATTCAAATAAAAAAAGAATCCCTGTTAGTAAGCACTATAATTCCAAATATTTTCATTAACATTTTATTTTCCCAGTTAGGAGAATTTATCAGGACCAAATATGGTCATGGTTTTTATCTGTTCTAGGTGTAGGCATTTACCACAATGGGAACTGGATAAAAATTTGTAATGTCCTTTCTGCAAAACCATCTATAAAGAGAAAACTGGAACCCAGCCTAGAGGACAGAAGGAGGTCTTCAAGGTCTCCCTCCTGAGTCACAAGGATTGTGGGGTGATACTTCTAATGTTTATGTTAATTTTACTACTCAATTATATTAAAATTATTGTGGTACGATAAATATTTAACAACCTCCTATGCATTTCTTGGCAGGGTGGGCTTTATTAACAAACCATACGAGGGTACTTCAAAAAGTTCATGGAAAGATTCATACTATTTTTCAATTCTATTTTTCCAAAAACTTTTTGAAGTAAAATAGATGCTAAAAGAACTCTATACTATTAACAAAATGTTTAGAGCAAAATGGTTGATATTATAAGGGTTTCATCACAGAAGTAAGACATTGAACGAATTCAGATTCTACAGACGAAACATTTAATTAGTCGGAAGAACAACTATTTGATTCTTTACATTCCTTCCTGACACTTGTTTTTCTGAGATTATTTATTTTAAAGTCACCATAAAGGGAACTCTTAATCATGGGAACGATTATAAGCATGACATTACGGTGGGGAAAATTTTTTTTTTCCTTTCATATAAGCAGTTAAGGGATGATACAGAATCAGTGGACTTTCTAATAAAAGCCACAAGGGATCTAAAAGTGATAGAGATGAAAATAAGGCAAAATATCAGCATTGTATGTGCTTAAATACCTCTTTTCCTCTCCCTTCATCCCCACTAGAGAAAGGCTGTAGAATTACTACAGTCTCTTGCACCAAGAAACATACTCTCTTAGATACTGACAGCAAATTTATAGCATCACCATAATCCCTTTATTTATTTATTTTTCCCCTTTTTGTCTTTTTTTCGTGTCCAGCAGCGGATCGCAACCCTCAGTGTCGCGCCCGTACCGGACCGGGACCGGCAACGGGATCGCAGCCCTCGGCGCTGCGCCCGCACCTCGCTCAGCCAGTGAGCGGGAACTGGTCTGTATGTGGGATCCGTACCCTTGGCGGGAGCGCCGTCACGCTCTCAAGCGGCGCACTGTAGCAGTGCGCCACCGGGCCGGCCCACCATAATCCCTTTAAACCACAAAGAAGATACAATGAATTAGAAGACAAACGCCAATTAAGGAAGAGTGCCAAGGGAAAATAAGCCAGCTCTATTGTCAAAGGAATACATAAAAACTATTTCAAACAATAAAAGATCATTTTAATACTGCAATTTGAACATTTAAAGAAATCATCATTCATACCAACATTAATAAATATTTAACAAAATATCAAAACTTCAACTTGACTAGATACTGCAAAATTTCTCTACAGAGTAGTTGACAAATTCATACTTTCACTGGTAGCATGTGAAGTTTCTCAATGTCATATGTTTTTCTAACTCAATTTTTACTGTGTCAAGAGTTGTTAATTTTTGCTAATCTGATGGGAGTGAAATGATTTAATATTTTCATGACTGTGAGTCTGAACCTCTTTTCCCGGTTTTTTGCCATTTGGATTTCTTCTGCTGTGAATTGCCTGTTTCCTGTCCCCCACTCCAACCAAAACCCAGAGCCATTTTTCTACTGTATGGGTTCATTTTTGAAATTTTATTTGTAGAAATTCCCCAAATATCCTGAACAATAATTTGTTGGTTTATATAAATAGTAAGTATCCTCTTGCAGTCTATCATGCTCCTTCACTTTATCCATGGAATCTTTTTCAGGACTAGTTTTTCATTTTAATATGAACAAATATATCAATATTTTGCTGTACAATTTGTGTTTGCTATTCAAGAAATCCTTTCCTAACTCATGATGAGACTTCCCTATATTTTATTCTAAAATCTTGATAGCTTTCCTTTCCACATTTAGGCCTTTAATTTACTTGTAACTGATTTTTATATATCCAATATGATTTTTATATATCCAATATGAGGTAGGTATAAAATTTTTCTCCATATATGCATGTCCAATCGTCCTAAGCACTCTCCACTTCCCAAATGTGCATGGCTATCTCTGAAATGTGACAAACTTCCAGTTATGTGTGGGACTGGGTTCTTTTTCTAACCACACCATTCTAATCTATTATTGTTCTATTTGTCTATCCTGGAATCACTAGCACACTGTCATAATTACTGTACCTTCATACATCATTAATACGTGCATTATTCTCTTTAATTTGTCTTGGCTAACTTTAGGCTTTTATTCTTCATACACATTTTGAAAACAAATTGTCAAGATTCATGAATTTTATTTGAAAGTTCCACTAAGTTTATACATTAAAACTTTAAAGAGAATAGATACCTTTACAAGACAGCTTTATGATATTAAATTTTCTATTTTATAAAAAAGATATATATTTATATTTAGGTTTTCTTAATGTCTTTGAAGTTTTATAGTATGCTTCATCAAATTTAAATTCCTTGCTTAGCTTTTAAATTAATTCTTATATACCTTAAACTTGTGTTTGTGTGTGGATCTTTCTAAAAACTGTATTTGCTGTTTCTTGCTAAGAAACAGACTACAATAACTTCCAATATACCGATCTCATATCCAGAAAATTTACTAAGACTTCATTATTTACTCAATAATTTTTCTATTTTGGATGGTTTTCTACATGTATAATCATATCTGTAAATAATAACAGTTTTGTGCTTTTATTTCCAAGTCTTATAATTCTAATTTCTTTTTCTTATCCTACTACATTTGCTAAATCCTAACAAAATAGAAATGAATATAACTGACATTCTTGTGTTATTTCAGCCTTTAAAGAAAATGGTTCTTACATGTTAGCATTAAATATAAATACTGACATAGAGTTTTAGTAAATACATTTTGTCAGTTTAAGGACATTGCCTTGTCTTCCTAATTTTCTAACAGCTATTTTTTTAAGTCAAGAATAGGTGATGAATCTTATTGAATGCCTTTTCTATATCTATTAAAATGAAAAATGTTTTTTAATCCTTTAGTCTGCTGATGTGATGAATTATGTTAACAGACTTCCTAATGTTAAATCAATCTTATTTTCTGGGATAAATCTAAAGTGTCATGAATTTCCTATGTTTATGGAATGGGTTTGCTAAAATTTGTAGAGATTTTTGTCATGTGTTTTCACATTCATACTTAAGATCAATTACAATTTTACTGTCTCTTATTTAAAACGTTTTACTAATCTTTTAAAAGAAGTTGAAGAATGTTATTTCTTACCTCCCTTTCTTGGAAAAGTTTGGCATAACTTACAATGTATAATCATCACGAGCGTATCTTGCGTGTGCATGCTCACGTGCTGTGAGGAGGCAGGGGTGGTTCGTTAACTACCTATTCAATTTCTTCAATGATTATGTCTGTTTAATTTTCTAGTTTGTTTGAAATCAGTTTTAGTAAGCTATATTTTTCTAAGAAATTGTGCTCTTTATTACCATCTTTTAATTTCATTAATTCTGTTTTATCTTTATTATTTCATATACACAGTATATGAAATAAGTTTAGATTTATTTAAACAATTACCAATTTTTTGCTCACCATTCCTCCTTGCAAAATTCCTCTTCCTCTGGTCACTTTTCTCTTTCTAAAGAAACGGTCTTTGAATGAGGGCTATAGATGATAAATTTCCTCAATATTTTTGGTCTGAAAATAGCTTTATTTCACTCTCATTCTTGGAATAGTTTAATTCAGTGGTTCACAAAATGATGTTGCATCATCTCAGAACTTGCTATAAATGCAAAATGTGTGCCCCACCCCCGACCTACTGAATGAGATATTTTGGGGAAGGGCCAACAATCTGTGTTTCAATTGCTCCTCCAGGTGATTCTGATGCGTACTGAAGTTTGAGAACCACTGGTATAGTTGATATGCAATCCAGGGTGAGCAGCTGTTTTCTCTCAGCACCCTTAATGTATTTATTCCATTCTCTTTTGGCACCAAGTGTTACAAATGAGCTATGTATTATCTGGGCAATCCTAATGTCATATAAGTAATATCCTTTTTTCTCTGGCTGCTTTTAAGATCTCACTGTCTTTGCTTATCAGGTTTCATTACAATGCATTTACATATTGTTTTTGTTTTATTTATCCTCCTTGGATGGTGGTTGTACTTGATTCTTAGGAACCTTTTTTTTTTTTTTATTAATTCTGAGATATTCCTCAGGATTATTATCCTGAAATATTAATTCTTCAAATGCCATCTCTCACTCTATTTTCTTCTGTCCTCTGAATAAATCTTTTTACCATCCATGCTATTTAATCTCCTACATATCTTCCATCTCTTTCTCTCAGGGGTACATTCCAGATAATGTCTTTAAATCTATCTTTTAGTTCACTCTTCTCTTCAGCTCTGTCTATTCTAAAATAAATCATCTTCTGAGGTTTTTTTTTTTTTTGCTCTTATATTGAGAAGCTCTACTTGGTTCTTTTGCAAAGGTCCCCTTATCTTTTTGTGACAGTATACTGTCACTGTTAATAATTTCAATTCCCTCTCTTACCTCTTTTTAAATAATTCATAGACTTATTTTATAAGTAGTATCTGATGATTTCAGTATTTTAAGTTATAGGCACTGCTTTTTTTTTTTTTTTGATAACTCCCTCCTTTCACTGAGGGATAACCCTTTGAGTATTACGAGAAAGGGTTAACAAAATCCTTTCTCCTTTTCTAAGAACAAATTTGAATTTGTAATAACATTTTTTGTGCTGTTTAATAAAATCCTAATAAAGGTGGAATGCCAGCTGTGTTTCCAGGCAACAATGCTTGCAGGTAGTCCCCTGGAACTGGACATAGCCCTCAAGACAACCTGAAAGCAATGAGACTGTTATAAGAGATAATGGTTACCTTTTGGGATGTGAAATTTCTAATTAAATTGTCCCTATACCCACTTATGAGATCTAGTTCTCTTGCAACTAAGCCATCACTTGAAGGGCCAAAGAAGAGTAGCTCCAAGACTGCTGCAAGGGCTCCCATGGAAATGAAATGCCGGATGCTGCCCTGCTATCATTTCATATTTCCTGTAAATAATTCCAATGCCAAGTATACCATACTGTCACGTTCAGTTTTTCTAGCTGAGCCTAAGATGACCCCTTGGTGGACATTTCAAGGGTCCTTGATTAGAGCAAGAGACATGGGGGATGGAGGAGGAGAAGGGAAAGGTGAGTTTCTAATGCTCCACTTTGGACAAGTTCAAGAAATCAGCTGTTCTCTCCCACAGTGACATTAAAACCTAAGCCTCTAGACTGTGAAGACCTGTGAAAACCTCAAATGTAGTTGCAATGTCAAGGTTAATCAACAAGTCTGACCTCTAGATTCCTCTACATTTTTGTCCCATAGAAGTTTCCCTTACTCTTCTGAGAGCTCAGCTGTGCATTCAAAAGAATGTTTGTTCTATTTTATCCTGCATTTCTAGGTATTTTTAGTGGAAGGGTTTTTAAGGATATATAGTCTATCATATTTCCAGAAAAAGAAATCTCTAATTTCTTCACCTGTTATCATTATTTTATTTATATCTGGGATGGGAAGTACAGCCATAAGGGGAAGTCAAGTGAGCAAGTCTCTGGGCTTCCCATCAGACATCAATTATTTAAAAAAAAAAAAAAAAAAAAATGCAAACTTATTTCTTAGTGTGATTTTTGTCCATGCCTGTTGGCACTTTTTTCCACCTCTTTGGAAAGATAAGATGATCCTTTTATTCAAGCATATTATTACATATGTGCATATATACTTATTAAGTTTTCCCTTTTCATAAGAGAATGTTAATCCTACACTCAATCCTGATTCAAAATATATGTCCCCACATATATACAACATAGTACAATCATGCTCTGGACCTCCAAGAAACATATGCTAGTTTTTTTGATATTTAACATGTATCAAAACCTCAGCAGAGACAACTTTTATTAAAGAATATAGGTAAATATAAAGACTATTTATTAAAGAATATAGCAATTCATCTACTGCTCTATGGTTCTTCCCTTGCTGTGCATAAACACCACTCTTAAATCTTTCTGAATGGCAGATACCCATATCCCCACTCTCCAAATCAAAGAAATCAAAATCTCTGGGAGGGACCTGGACATGTTAAGTTTTTAACATGAAAGTTCCACAGGTGATTATGGTGGACAACCAAGATTGTGAACTAGTATCTTAGATACTTGAAAACCTATCCTGGATTAAATCAGAATAATGGATAGCTGGATATGTTATATACTTATAACAAAACCAGACAATATATATACTTACACATAACACACACGTCACAGCATTTTGGTGAATCATAAGATGTCATGTTATTCGCCTACCTTGGGGCCACCTTAAGAAAACACCCTATGAAATCATTTCCATATTTACAATAGGGATGTTGATTAAGAAATTATCTATTACATCATCCACTGCCCTCTTTATGAGAATCCATGGGAGAATGTTTAAAGCTTCAAAACTAGGTGTACTTTCCTAGAGAAACTGATTTGTTTTTCTTTTTTAGACATCATGAATCATATAACTACTATCTTCTCCTGTGTTCTGGCTGCTACAAAGCTTAGGGCCCAATTTGTGCCCCAGGGCTACCCTATATACTGAGTCTTATGGCACATATTTTATGAACTAACTTCATTCCTGTTTTCATTACCTTTTAATTCTCATTTTTTCCTTTTTCTCTGTTCTTCCATTTAAAAAAATATTATATCTTAGTGCACTTTGTGGATTTATGTATCTTGCCTTAAAAATTTTTGGAGTAAGTTGGGATATATACCAAAAAAATCTATAACTGAGATGAGTTCAATATGTTTTTGAACAGTGAAGGCCAAAGTTGAGTAAATATTGTGACAAATTAGAAAGGGAAGTATGTGGATAATCACCTCAAAGGACATGCCTAAACATTAAAATGTTGCTGAAAATTATAACAGCAGTTGTTCAAAGGGTCTATCATTCCATTTATAAAGATAAATATTATTCCATTTATAGAGGTAAAAATAAGTTGCAGTTAAAATTAAGACACGAACCCCAAAATGGATCCAGAGAACTGAACAAATTGTATTTGGGCATTTACAACAATAACTACAAGGTACAGGAAAATATTATTTATGCCCAAACTATTTTTTTCATGTACAAAGACTTAAAAGCCAGATTAAATCATATAACAAAGGAAAAATCAAATTTCCTATAAATAGCTTGTTATCTATTTTTGTACATGGTCCTTGGAAAACTACAAACGTTCATTTTTATTTTAGTTATTAGGATAGTAGAGATAAACATACCTGGCTATGTAGCTCTCAGTATATGTTTTTCTTTTGTTTGTAAGCACACCAGAGGTGGGATTTCTTGCCAAACTAGGTGGTGTGGAATTTCGAGATTTGATGTTAGCTCTAGAAGAGAGAAAGAAATGGCATAATAAAAAAGTATTGAATAGTAGCATTTGTTTCTCAAATTGCCTATTTGCAGGATTAGAAAAATAATTAGAAGCTGCAGAGAAGTTCAAAAGATTAAAATCCAAATTATTATTTTAAATCTGAAAACAAAGCATAGTTAATACTAAATTAAACCAAAGCATTTTGCATTTACTAATACTATCTGGATAGCAGACAAAACCAATTAAAATATGTGTATATACTTTACATGAAATTTACGTTAATCATCCTGAAAGGCTTCAAGTTTTCTTAAAAAGTCAAAATTTATAGCTCCCAGAAGACATAGATGTGTTTTGTTAAGTGCCATGAATAACTTAAATATACATTAAACAAGTTTTATTATTAGCCTAAACATATGAGATGGGGGGGGGGGGGGGGGGTACATTGGCTAACCATTTAAAGGATAATATTCAATTTATGAAAGTTCCTGGAAACAGTGACTAAAATAAATGGGTTAATATAATTTTCCCTTTAAAGATTTAATTTCACCAACTACACAGTCTGGTGGTATCACAGGGACTTTGGGTTGGATCATCACTAAATTCCCATTTTGAAACTTCAGGAATCAAAGAAAGCTTAGAAAGCTAAATGATGATATAACACTACAATTACAGGATTTTGGATTCAGATGAATCTTTATTTGAATGCCAGCTGCTACTGACCAAGTTTATAATTGTGGTCAACTTATCTGAGTTTCCTCATTTATAAACTAATAATCACTTAAAGGAAAGTTATGAGATATAAATTGCAATTTATATGAACAATTAGCATAGTTGATGATGATATATACAGGTAATATTATTACTACTGCTATCACTACAAGTTAACATTTATATAACTTACTTCGTGCTTACTTCATTGCCAAATACACTGCTAACTGTATTACATATACAAATTTATTTAATCCTAATAATCCTATAAAGTAGGTAGGATTAATAATTCCATTTCACAGATGAGGCAATTGAGGCAAAAAGCCCTTAAGTAACTTACCCAAGGTAACACCTAGTACGTTGCAGAGCCAGAGTTCAGATGTTCAGTAAAGCATTAGTTTAGTTCCTCCCTGCCCTTTAGAGATTTAGTTAAATCTTTTCATTTCACAGGTACACAATGTTGTGTTATATGAATGAGCAGAATATTTTTAAAATTTCCTTTAGATTAGAAGTTCTTAAACTTTGGCTGAAATTCTTCCTACTCATATAGTAACACTGGAAAGGGTCTTCTAAAATTGTAAATAGCTACTTCCAACATACATGCAGGTAATGACAACATTTACTATTTTTCAAACCCCCATTATATGTCAAATATGGAGCCACATACCACACATACTTCACTTCATTTAATCTTCGCCAAAATCTCAGAAGGTATTATTACCATTTCAAAGTTGAAGAAACTTGTGTTCGGTGATATGTAAGTTGCAGAGTTATTATGTGGCCAGAGAAGTACTTGAGCTCGAACTTAAGAGGGTTGTGTTACAATCTCATATTCAATATGCAATGCTACCATTCAAAAAGTGTTTGCTTTGAGGAATTACTACTTTAAATTACTTCTAAATGTTAACAAGCAAAGAATCACCTAGGTGCATAAATAGGATGCCTTGGACCTCTTCAAATGTTCATCCTAAGTCCATCCATGAGGTTTATTCTACTCTACTTTTGTATAGCTTCTTTAGGAGTACTGCAGTACTACTACTATAGTGCCTTTCTAAAAATTTAGTCCCTAAAAAAAATCATTGTCAAAGAATGGCATTCCTCCAGTGACAGTCATAAGAGGGCTAGTAAGGGCACTTCCCTTTTTCTTTTTTGGCTTAGAACAGTCTTGTTAGAAATCCTATAACCTTCATATCGTATGTACATGACATACACAGATGATACAAACACCCAAGAATACATATACATAATTTTACCATATCAATAAAATTGTTCAAAATATATCCAGAGAAAAATTAGTATCAACAACAGCTGCCATATTAAATGTCTGTTATTTATTTTTAGTAACATTTTGAATGTTAAGACCCATTCTTAAGAGATTGGGAAGAATCATCATCTTGACTGGTACTTAAAAAACATGTTGCCCCAGTCTCACACACTCAACACATTTTTCTTCCTGGCCAGGGTCTGAATGTTACCCTTATTCTATTCTGGAATCTGTCTGCTACGGCTCCAATAATAAAAGGGTTAGTTTTGGAAATGCACTTAATCTATCTCACTGCCAGTCAGTGTTTCTTTGAGATTTGCTTCAGAGGGTATAGACTATAGCAGTGCAAAGAAAAATCGTTCAGGGCACAAAGTCTTCCTTCTAGAATTTATCTCTACTTAAAATTAACAGGCTGTTGCTAGTATCTTAAAACCTTCTTCCATCTTTATTTTATTATATATCTAGTTAAATTTATTATTACTTTTCATAATACCCAGTAAGCACAATGTTGTAGTAGGCATTGGTTTAAAAGTTAACTAAGTTAACTCTTTTTAATAATATACTTTTCAACTTAAACAAGTAAATTAATTAATTAGGCTCTATATTCATCATTTGAAACAAGAGCTAGAGTTGGTATTGAGGCCCAATTAGAAAACCTCATGCTGTAGTTTCAAAATGACTGCCACTGCCAAACTTCTCAGTCAGGTAGGTCAGAATCGAGAGGAGGTATTTGGCAGTGTCATAATCCTTTCGCTGTTTCATGTGGAATTTATAACCATCTAACAAAAAGATTAAGGATCCCTAGATTGAATGTGTTCAAAGATCTTCATTTTTCTGGCTTTTTAATACTAACTCATCATCTACTTGACTAAAAGATAATATAGCAATATTATATGATAAATATGATAATTTTTCCCATACTCTTCTTTTTAAAACTACTACTCTTTAAAGGCAGGCTTCATAAAAACAATTGTTAAAGGTGACTGCTATTTAAATCCTCTAAAAACTAATATTTAATGGAATAAAGTGTATGATCTAAAACCAACTTTATTTAGGACAATAGAAATGTTCACCAAAAATCAAAATGTTTTAAATCCTAAAGGATTATTTAGTATTTTTGAGCTTAAAAATTATTAAGCTTTTTTTTTTAAGTACAGGAAGGTAAAAGTTATAGTATTCTGTTATATAAAGCCTTTAAGGAAATATCTGAAAAAGATTAACCAAACTGAGTTACAAATACTTACTTGTAAATGGGTAATAACTCATGTCTTTTGACGGCACTGTCTGATTTTGTATCACTGTCATACAACCTTTGCACATTTCTTCCAGTTCGAAGTGGAGGGCCTAATTTGTCCATCTTACTATTAAAATATATAAAGGTGTACCCATAAGGAGATTGCTATTGTTTGTTTCTTTATATAAAGAGTTTTTCTTGAAAAAGACAAAGTGATTCATCAGAAATCCATCCCCCAAAAGCCCTGAATTATCTGACTGCCAGAGTGAGAAGTAATGTCAAAAAGAATCCTCAGAGTTCATACAATGTCCACTATCAGATCTGAAAACTCTGACTCTGCAGGCTACCCTGATAGTTTTGATGCACATCCAAACAAATGCCACATTCATACATGGTAGGGCAACAGAATCAATGAAGAAACTTAGGAAGGACAACAACTGTTTCAAAGAAAATTTGTGAAGGTAGAAGTAAAGTGCAAGTTCTTATTCACAAATAATGTAACTTTTCTCCTTCTCTGAATTCATAGAATCTTCCTCTTTTTTCTTCATTATTTTATGATTTTCCCTGTCTTTTAAAATTTACATCTGTGTACCATCTGGCTTTCTAACAAAACATGAGTTTATTTCACCCTCCTATAATCTTGTGCAATCTTCTCTCCAAGATCAGATACAAAAGCCTTCTTTTTTTTTTTTCCTTTTTATCTTTTTTTACTGACCGGCAACGGGATCGCAACCCTCGGTGCTGCACCCGCACCGCGCTCAGCCAGTGAGCGGGAACCGGTCTCCACATGGGATCCGAACCCTCGGCGGGAGCGCCGCCGCACTCCCAAGCTGCGCACTCTCCAGTGCGCCACCGGGCCAGCCCAACATGAGTTTATTTCTGAAATTTACTTAGAGAAAAGCAAAATGTGACCCTAGGTGAAAAAAAATGGGTGGCAATTCTAAAAATGACATGTAAAAATGTTAAGTGACCGTGTCATTTGAAGTTTTCTATTTTTCTTTTTTTTAACCAAAAGTAGAAAGAATCTCCATCTAGAGGACAATAGGACAAACTGCAGGTTTATAGGTTTTTTTCTCGTTTTACATAAACCAAATAATCAAATCATATATACCATCATCAACCAATTCATAGTAGAGAGCAGGGAAAATTAAATTATGAAAACTATTTCAAGTGAATACTGAATTACACATCACTGCTTATTAACTTAAAGTATACTTTTTTTAAGGATGTGTGTTTGCTCATTCATTTTTCCACTCATTTACTAATTCAATAAACCCTGAACACCTACTATGTCTCAGGCACTGTGCTACATTCTGGGGAAATAAAACAGACCCAATGCTTCTTCGTATGGAGCTTAGAGCCTAAAAAGAATCTGTTCATCTTTCTAGATTATAAAGGTATCTGAGGAGGGACACATTATATACATTTTTATGCTCTTTCAGTAGCCTATACACAGCAGGCATTTTGTTTTAAAAATTGACATTAATACTCTGTAGGTGACAGTGTTTACATTAGGATTTAAAATATAAAAAACTGCCTTCATTTTATCTACATATATCATAATTCCTAAAATAATTAAGACTAAAATTTGATTTTTTTTCAATATGTGAAAAATTACTAGAAAATTCACCTATTTGAAATTTTAATCAGATTTTTCTTTGAATCATTAACAATTATCAAAGCATTATTGTTCCAAACAGTATTTATCTTACAAAAGGCAGCTATGAATTTGCGAATAAGAAATAAAATATCTTTCTCAGAAAAAAGTTACTTAAATTAAAATTTAGAAAATTTTAAACTACATTTTAAAAACATATTCCTCTAATATAAGTATTTGAATCTTACCTGTGAAACAACAAAGTTCAATTTGAGAAAGGAGATGTGTAGAATGCAATAAAAATCTAAAGGGTAATTATTTAATGGAAATATTATATATTTTATATATATGAGAAAATTGCCAATATTTTCAGATTCTGAAAACCTAACTGAAAGGCCAAAATAAGCTACATATCAATAGCGATTGGAATTTACTGGAATCTCTGAAATTTGGTATTTTAGCTATAGTTTCCAAAGAGGATTAGTACCATATACCTGTGTTATAAAATTCAAATCAGTTTGTGTGTGTGTGTGTGTGTGTGTGTGTGTGTGTGTGTGTGTGCGCGCGCACGCGCGCGCGTGCGCATGCACAATTCAAAGGCCTATTTTAAATCAGGAATAGGTTGACACTGTTTCAAAACGTTCATAACTGAATAAACATTTTAAGAAATATTTGGCAACAATATCTACCTATTCCTGATTCAAAATAAACTTTAACCTAGGAAAGGTCTTGTTTACTTTTAATACCATGAGAGTGAATTCACTTAGGAAATATGTCATTCAGTCTGGCTTACTGCATCAAACATACTAGAGTGAGATATAATAAAAAGATGATTTCTGAAAACACACTGGGAGATAGATTTACCAGGTGGTATTTTGTGTCTTCGTAAACCTCTGTAGTTATGATGCTCTGAGGCATTAAATGTTTTAAAATGTATTATACCTCTACTTTTGATCCTAAATTCATCAGTACTACAAAGATAATTTAGTATCACAATTCCATGGCAAAGTTAGTTTCCTAATTCAATAGCTTCGATCACTGTTAATCACGTAAGAAGCCAAGCTCTGCATTTCCAGGTTGTTTTAGGCATTGCTAGATCAATAACAAAACACAATTTATAAAAATCTAAATAATGCACAGTGGTTGTGGCGACTGCCATGGCATCAAGTCACTTTTGTGACAGCCAAGGCTATGATAATGGCTTTGGTGGGCCACCCACGCAGAAATGGTGTTTTTTGCATGCTCTCTTGGGTGGAGGAGGCTGCCTTCAGCTCCTGCCTAGGACCCTGGGCATGCTCTCTTTCCTGCTTCCAGGCAGAGGGGGCACTGCCCTTGGCTCCTTCCTAGGACCCTGGGCATTGTTGTTTTGCCTGCTTCTGGGCTAACCCGATGTCTTAATTCCATCTACACTCAATCCTGAATCATCTGTGTAAGTGAAAATAATGGTTGCCATACAAACGTCAAGTAATTCTTCCACTTGTACCAGGAACATAATTCTATGATGTGCTACTAGGTTTACAAATAAGGGATTTAATTTATTAATTCATTATTTTTTCCCTCATTCACCAAAAATTTATTGTGTGCCTATATGTCCATTGTTCTGTTAGATTTTGCAGTTATATTTGTCAGCAAGGCAGACAGTCTCTGCCACCATGGGGCTGACTATCTAGCGAGGGAAACAAACAAATCATTACCTTAACAATTCTAAAAGAGGAATGAACTCTTCCACTAAATAGATAGCTGTGATTAGTTCTAATTTAATATGGTCATACAGTAATGTTCCAGTTAACACAGTAATATATTGGTCAGAAGTGAACACCACCACTCTTTCTAGTAGTTGGAAACCCTCCTTTTACACGTAGTAAACTTTATATAGAATCAACAATCAGAATTTGAACAGATATGACTGACAGTTTAACATGATGTGGAACAACCAAAAATTTTTAATCTACCTGGCATTATAAATACTGCACAACTCACAAAATTACTGTTCTCAAAATCTTTGCTTGTTAGTAAAAAGCATATTTTCCCTTAGGGATAATATAAATATTGGTCAGATTTTCTCAGATGAGTTGACAAGGTATAAGCAGAGTCACTGAATGTCATCAGAGTATGACAGGGAGAGATATACCCAAAGTCATATAGCTATTTAGTGGCACAGTTGTATGCAGAAGAAGCCTAACTCCAAGGTCAGTGCCCCTTTTCATTATATCAGCCGGCTTCACATGCCTATTTAAGAATAGAGTATTGTCAGTACTACTTAATATTACCAACTGATAAAATTATCAGTATGATAGGAGAGGTACTAAAAAATATTGGCTTTCAATTCATAATCAACTGTAAATGAAACTATAAACAACACTATAAACAAATACTATAACCTGGGATATGGTTTAAAAAAGGCTTTTTTTAATGGTAAAAAATTGCTATGTCTATACTTCACTTAAATTTCCAATGAATCAACACAGTAAAGAAGAAAAAAAAAAAATCAAATCAGTTTTTTACCACTGGAAGATGAGAACCTTTTACTTTTCAACTACCTTCCTACTGATAACCTGTCTCTTTCTTACAGATAGGCCGTCTCTTTTTGGAAGCACAACAATATTAAAAAAACATTCAACTCAACAGATCTTGTTAATTGATTTTTCTTTTTCTACAATGATAATTACATTAAACTCCTTTTGGGTCATGCACTTTCTAGGTAGTCTGAGTTGGGAAACAAAAGGCAGTTACTCTCACTTGATAGACACCCTTGTATATATTTCCCACATAAAAACCAAAATTAATGTGAGCCACAAATAATCAATACTTGAGAATAATGTCTGCTATATTTCCTTAATCAATTGTATCCTTAATATTTAAAGATATGGGCATATGCCTTCATTCTAATGGCCCTGTGGCAATCCCTTAATTTTCTGGTTTATCAAAACAGAAGAGAAATTATGTTTCTAAAAACAGGTGCACTTATATTAAAATCTCTAGGATTACCAATATTTTTTCTCATATTAAATAGATTGTTGAGAGTTTAATTATGATACTTTATTAAAAGCCATGTATATAAAACTATAGAAAGTATAAAAAAATAAATAAAAGGAAAAGAATAACCCACTATTAATATTTCAGCATATTTTGTCTTTTTGTCTACACATATTTTTATAATTTCCATCATACTACACGAGTTTGTATCCTACATTATTCTCATTATAGCCGAATCACCTTATTAAAACTTATAAATATTTATGGTTGCAAAGGATCCCTTTTTAAATTTTCGTACTTTACTATTCAAACAAAAATAGACATTGGATGATTTTTATTTTTTTATGTTATAATAAAAACATGTGAAGTAAGTCCACTGTTTAGAACCAAATAGACCCCAATTTGTATCTTGCTTCTATTAAGAGCTATGTGGCTTTGGGCCGAGCCCGTGGCACACTCGGGAGGGTACGGCGCTGGGAGCGTGGCAGCGCTCCCGCTGCGGGTTCGGATCCTATATAGGGATGACCGGTGCGCTCACAGCGCTCACAGCGCTCACTGGCTGAGTGCAGTGTGGCCAGTCTCAAAAAGGACAAAAAAAAAAAAAAGAGCTATGTGGCTTTGAGCAAATTACTTTGCTTCTCTGATCCTCTTTTTCTATGGGGGTAAGGTGGTTTTAATAAAAATATATGCAAAATGTCTAGCACAGTGCCTGATACATAGTGCTTAATAAACTATGGTTTTTATAAAAAAGTCCATATTTCAAATTATTTCCTTAGACTAGGTTCCCAGAAGTAAAATTATTCAATAAAAAATATGAATATTTTTAAGGCTTTTGATAAATGACATTAGATTATTTTCCAAAATAATTGTACTAATTTAGATCCTCAACAGCAGTGTGTTAATGATCACAAATATGTTAAAAGACAAATGAATTTAGAAAATGAAGCTTAATGAGAAAGCCAATTACCTAAACAAAATAAAACATTAATATCATTTAAATATATACCACTAATAAATTAAATTCAATGTAGACTTACCCTGCATGAGGGGCTGCAATTGCTTTATGAGAAGGAGATAAGGTCTGGAGTTTGCTCCCCGAAGAGCTGCTAACTGAAGACACTTTACCTGAAGTCACACCTTATAATAAAAAAGGCATTAGTTTTCAACAACACTCTGAAAAAGAAAAATTCACACAAAACAGAGCATCTGACAAGGAAAACACTGCTTTCATTATACTCTTTGTGGCCATAAATCAAACAAGTCACCAACTAAGGAAATTAAGAAAAAGAAAAAAAAATTTCCAGGAAACAACATATAGCATCCTCAATTTCTTTCTTACAATATACATACAAATGAAAGTACACTTCAGTGGTCAATATCTTTTTCAAACCATTAAATATCTGTGTATTAAGAATAATTGTCAAGTTAAGAAATGTATGAGGAACTAATAAGGTAGAAAGGAGGGAAAAACACTGGTCAAAGAAGAAAAAACTTGGCCAACTGTTCTGAACAGATAATACATCAAAACAAAAAAGGAAAGACATTTAATCTAAAAAAAAAAAAAAAAAAAAAAAAAAAATTTAAAAAAAAAAAAAAAAAAAAAAAAAAAAATCTAAAGTAAAAGCTATTGAAAGCTACTTTTAACCCAGAAATAATTACTTATCCTTCACATCTCTTCTTAATTAAATATGTATTTTAATTATCCAGAATAGACCACTATCTTGATTCTCTTCCCTACCAACAATGTCTTTTTTAAAAAATCAAATTATTTTATAGATCTCATTACCTACAACACTTTTGCTAGTGCCGCTTGGTTGTGGTAACCGTGAAGATCCTGATGACATGGTTCCAGGAGAATTTGACTTCTTAAGTACAGGTGGCTTATACTAAAATAATGAAAATAAAATATTTTATCAATGTCACTTTTTGATTATGGATTGTAAACTAGTAATTAAAAAGCTCCTATTCCCTGGGTATAGAATTTCAGTTTTACAAGATGAAAAGAGTTATGGAGATAGATGGTGGTGATAGTTGCATTATACAACATTATGAATGTATCTAATACCACTGAATTATACACTTAAAAATGGTCAAGATGGTAAATTTTATGTTATGTGTATTTTACCATGATAAAAAAAAAAAACCGGAAACATGCTCACATCCTCTTAATGAACAATCTTTTAATTAGCTATTGAATTACCTAAATTGAGAAAGTGTAAATTAAAATATGTCACCTCAGAGACAGGTTTTACAAAATATGCTCCCTCTCAAAACTGGTATACTAAAAGTTTGGCTCAGATGTTCTACTGCTAAAATAAACTAAGAACAACTTTTCCCGGTTCATAGAACCAAACAAAACCAAAATGATCTAATGAAAGAATTTTCTCCAATGTTAGGATTTTAAATGCCAAACAAACATTAGTAGAAAAAGTTAGAAACATCCAATGTTGTGAACTTGGTGATGCAACTTTAAAGGTCAAGATTTTTACATGTTCCTAGGTGTGGTTTTATATTTCGTGTATATAATCCAACTATATTTCCTACTGATAAAAATTCATAAGATTACCTATTAGACCTGAGAAGTTTTACAATAGCTGCCTTGTGGATTTCCCCAATGTGAAGAGAAGGAGCTAATTCTTGCTTCACAATCCTCACCAAATGACATTAGGTAAATGGAATATGTGAGTTGATATAAGATTGGGTATTTCAGCTTACCTTGTTTATTTTTATTTTTTCTCTACTCCCTCTACTCCCTAGAGGGATATTTTACTGTCTGTTTTTAAGCCAAATTTTGCTCAGTTCACTGAATACAAAAATATCTCATCAATCACCTGCTCCAATAAAAAGAAATGAACTTGCCCAACCTTATACCCCAACTTAATAACAGAGCAACAATTTAAAACTCATGCCACCTTAGTTCTATAGCCCACTACTTCAACCATAACGTGATAACTATACTTGCGTGTGTGTTTGGGAGTTAGCCCAATGAATTATTTAGCTTGCTTAGGACTTTATGTGAAAAATACTAATTTTAAAAATTCAAATAATATTTTATAAGCAATAATCAGTATAAAATTTAAGCTGCACTACTACCAAAAACAGCTAGATAAAAACCAATTTTGAAGTCAAATATTATAACCCTTCAAATTCATATGTAAACTTTTTAAAAATTAAATCTTGATAAAGGGTCACAAAAAGAAAGTGATGTACACATTTTGTATTATTGTGCCAGAAATGAAAATCTCTTGATAAAGAGGAAATCAAAGCCTTTACTAAACGTCTGTCAAATGAACAAATGACTAGGAGATTTACAAAGATGAACCACATAAAGATACTGTTTCTTTAAAAACCTAAGAGGTGTTTCTGGTCTAAAAGGGCATCTGGTTAGTACCAGTCTCTCCTACTGAAAAACGAGTGAATACATTAGAAAAGACTTTAAAATTAACATTGGTAGGGGAAACAAGACCTAACAAAGACTTGTTGAACTATCAGAATATGTCTACTAAAAACATAATCAATAAAATTAGATTAGGAAACAGGACTGGTGACCTATTCATATTGTGTTAACAACAAAAAAAAAGCAAAAATGCATTAAAAAAGGGTGCCAGTGTGGTCTATTACATAGAGAGACCAAGGCTTTAGGCAGGGTACAGGCAGAAAGGGTCCTGGTAGCAGTACACAGTGGGGACTACAGGTTTTTATGCACATACTAGAAATTATGATTAACTTAATGGCTTACAAATATTCTTTTTAAAAAGGAGAATATTTCTTTCAAAAGGTGCTTTGATTTTCCCCTCTCTAGATTAGGCCTCCCACTGTTCAATTCGAAATAATTTTGTCAGGTTTTCTAAGATTTTCAGAACCTAGCCCAACCTTATCTATATCCTATAATACTTCCTATTTCTATCAAGAACAACTAGTCAGCTTAGTTCCTTACTGAATGCCTCTTGTTTAAAATATATTCACCTGCCCCTCAATGTCTTGCTGTTCCCCTGACCTAGATAATCTGACTCCTTCCTTTCTCAGCTGTACTCTATCTATCCTACAACACCCAGCTGAAATTCTACCAGTATGAAAAAGAACTTCAGGACGAGTCTATCAATCAACAATTTTGTATAAAGTCATTTTAGTGATCAGAAAAAAGTCACTTTATTTTAAAAATTATATTCAATACATATTTATTTTATTCGTTAAATAATTCTTTGTTAGTTATTAGTGTGTTTTTATACTGATCACAAATCTAACAAATTTACTTAGTAAAATATTCACATTTACAAAGACTACTGAAATTGAAAAAATTTTAAAGAACATGGAGGACATCAATTTCTGATAAAATGGTAGAATAGACTAGACAAACCCTAAAACTAAAACCTAAAATGCAGAGAAATATGCACAGTATAAAAAATCATTGTGAAAGCACTGAATGTCAGATGAGAGGAAAAGGAATTGCCAGGCCAAACCAAGTGAGACTGTAATAACAGCCTGACGATCATATGGATTTGCTGTATAAATTTGCTTATTAGGCTGGTCAAGCAAACTAAAGACAATAATTCAATTTCAAGTGTTTCCAGACTGATAGTATTCTTAGATACCTGGAAGGAACAAGCATAGACCTTCTCTGGAAGAAGGCATGTCATATGAATAAGTCATCATGTACAATTTTTTAAGGGTAACAAGCAGCAAATATCAGTAATAATCATGGACGTAAGAATATAAGGAACCATGAATGAGAGAGCAGCAACAGAGCCATAAAGATAAACTGATAACACAATTATCAGACACATACTACAAGACAATTATGCATATTACACTTAAAGAAATAAAAGACAGGAACTGGCTATTAGCACAGTGGGTTAAGAGAATGGTGCTGCTGGTCAAGGGTTCAGATCCTGTACTGGCCAGCCACCAAAAAACCAAAAAATAAATAAAAGACAACATTGAAAATATTAACAGGAAATTGGAAACTATAAAAAGTAGGAAATCGGAAAAATAGCCAACCTCAAGGAATTAAAATACAAATTCAATGGTGGAAGAGTATTATACCCTGTAATCCTACAGATAACAATGAGGATTTTTTAAAATGATTTTCAGAGAATAGAAACCATGGAAAACCCACAACTATAGCTTTACTGCCTACTAAGAACCACCCCATACACAAAAGAAATAACTTTACAAAAGAACAAAATAGAATCCAGGTTTGTATAATATGAGGGGTTTCAAAAAGTTCATGGAAAGATTCATATTATATTATCTTTCAATTCTATTTTTCCACAAACTTTTGAAGTACCCTCATATTATCTACCACATCCAGTTTTCAAACAAAAGTTACTAGCAAAGAAGCAGAAAGTATGCCCCATATTCAGCAAAACGAGAGTCAAAAGAAACTAACGCCAAGTGGTCACAGGTGTTATATTTAGCAGTTAAGAACTTCAGAACAGTTATTATAAGTGTCTTCAAAAAGTAAAGAAATATACACACAAGAATTAAAGAAAAATATGGTATCAGTGAATGAACAGATATGGAATCTCAACAGGGAAATGAAGGCAAAATACAGGTATTTTCAGATAACCCAAAAAAAAAAAAAAATTCATTGCCAGCAGATCTGCACTATCAGAAGGCTCAAGAAACTTCAGGCTAAAGCAAAATGACAAAAGATGGCAAGTTAGATTTACAAGAAGGAATGAACAGGTCTGGAAATAGTAAATACAAAACACAAAGTATATGTATGTACGCATAACTATTGTGTGTACAAATGTATAAGTATGTTTATATATTTATTTTCCTAATTTCTTTAAAAAAACAGATGACTTTTAAATCAATAACTATGATGTGAGAGTGACATCATCAAGATGGAAAAATAGGAGGTCTTTAGCTTCATTATTCCCCACAGAAAGTTCATCTAGCAGACAAGAACACCTTGCTGAATATCCCCCAAATTGGAAATAAGCCCAAGTCACCTGCATGATCCAAACAATGAAATAAAAATTGCATGGAAAAGGTAAAAGAAACGTTCTTGCTTTGATCATTGCCCCTGCCCCAAGTCAGCACAGTGCTACACAGAGAGGATGCCCCAGGGACCACGGTTTCTACAGAGGGAAAAGAGAACCAGAGACAGACATTTAGCTTCCCTAGCATTCTGAAATGACTCCAAGGAAACCCATTCCAGTCTCACCTCAAATGGAACACAGGAGGAAAAGGAATAGCTAAACCACCTGGGGTCAGGTAGAAACAAAGAAAAGAGACGGAGCCCACAGAAACTAGCAAGCGGATCTTGGTGGCAGCTCTGTGTACTTGCCAACAGTGGTGCCCGATCAGAGGTTCCAGATAATAGCACAGCCCACCACAAAGCCAAGCTGGTTACTCCACAGAAGTGGAGAGAAATTCTACTTGGCTTGATTCCCTAGATTGCTAGCCTCTAGAACCAGCCTCAGACTCTACCCTGGGACGTGCCTGGAGAGGAAAATTACCAACACAGTGAATTAGAGCAAAGAGCAAGGGCTAGTTGGTGCCACACCTGGGAATTTAACAGGGTTCAGTGTGACCTCAAAGCCCACCCCAAGACCCTGCCTAGAAAGGGAGACAACCATTGCAGTAAATTACAGTAAAGAGCCAGAGCTAGTTGTGCCACACCTGGGAGTTTAACAGCACCCTGTACAAACTCAAAACCTGCACCAAGCCCCTGCATAAGCAAGGAGGAAAACCTCAACCATGCAGTTCTACTAAGCAAAGCAACTGGTCCCATCTATCCCCATCAGTGACTCCACCTAACCTTGGGGCCCCTCTTGCATCCCTGTCCAACTGCTGAACTCAAACAGCAGTACCACCTAGCCAGGCAATACAACCTGTGGCCAGGCCAAATCTGAGGCAACTGCAGTGCTCACCCAGCAGCTCAGCCTGATTGCACAGCCTAGCCAACTGCCCCACCCGAGCCAACTGCCCCAACCTAACTCAGAGCAAAGGCAGCAGCTCAGCCATCTAGAGAACCCAAAAGCAAGCTTTGCCTGCCTATAGTCATTACCAGCTGGCCCCTACACTGGCTAAATAGCAAAGGTCTATCCCTGCCAAAAAAACACCTGTAAAAGTTGGTAAAAGTGTCTGTCTCCTCAAATGCACCGATACCAACACAATGACACAGGATTACAAAGACTCAGGAAATCATGACACCTCCAAAAGAAACTAACAAAGCTTCAACAGTGCGTCCTAGAGAAAGATCTATGAAATGGCAAACAAAGAATTCAGAATAATCCTCATAAGGAAATGTCAGTGAACTAGAAGAACATATGAATAAAAGATTAAATTAAATTTGGAAGGCAATAAATGAATAAAACAAGAAGGCTGACAAAGAAATAGAAACAATAAAAAACAGAAATCCTAGAGATGAAGAATACAATTACTGAACTGAAAAATGCAACAGAAAGCATCAACAGCAAACTCAATCAAACTGAAGAATCAGTGAGCTCAAAGACAGAACATTTGAAATTATCTAATCAGAGAAGCATAAAGAAAAAAAGGATAAAAAAGAAGTTACCTATGAGAATTATGGAATAACAAAAAGAGATCTAACCTATGAATAATAGGAATTCAACATGGAGAAGAAAGAGAAAAAGGGCCAGAAAGTATATTTAAGTAAATAATGGCTGAATATTTCCCCAACCGTGGAAAGGATGCCTACATCCAGGTATAGGAAGCACAGAGGACTATAATCAAATTCAACCCAAAGAAGAATTCACCAAAATACATAATATCCAAACTATCAAAAATTAAAAACAAAGAAAAAATTCTGAGAGCAACAAGATATAAACACATCACACACAAAAGGGTCCTAATGTGACTATCAGCGGATTTCTCAGCAGAAATCTTGCAGTCCAGGAGAGAGTGGGATGATATATTCAAAGTGCTAGAGGAAAAAACCTGCCAACCAAAAATTCATGATCCAGAAAAGCTGTCTTTCCAAAATGAGAGAAATAAAAGTTTTCTGAAACAAATAAAAGCTAAGGGACTTCATCACCACCAGACTTGCCTTACAGGAACTGCTAAAGGGAGTTCTTTAAGCTGAAACAAAAGGCAGCTAATTAACATAAAAGTTACAAAAGCATAAAATTCAATGGTATAAGTAATAGAGCCATATTCAGAATTCTCTAGGACTGTAAGAGTGGTGTAAAGCAATCTTATGCTTAATTTGAGGGTTAAAAAGGCAAAAGTTTTAATAACTATTACTAAAATTGTTAAAGGATACACATTACAAAATAATGTAAATTCTGACACCAAACACATAAAATGGGAGGGGGAATAAAAGTGTAGAGTTGTTATATGTGATCAAAGTCACGTTGTTATTAGCTTGAAATAGACTGATATATGTTGAAGAAGGATGTTCTATGCAAGTGTATTAGTCTGTTTCTGTTGCTTATAACACCAGGAACTGGATAATTTATAAAGAAAATGAAATTTACTGCATACAGTTTCAGAGGCTAGGAAGTTCAAAGTTCAGGGAACGCATCTGATGAGGGTCTTGGTGGAAGCAACAGTGACCCAGGGGTCTCACATGGCAGAAAATGGAGGAATAGAGAGACAACTCCTGATGCGCTCTCCTTTTAAAGCCCTCTGAACCATGTCTCAGACCACCATTATTAAGCCATTCACTAAAGCATGGTCCTACAATCGAATCACCTCTTCAAGGTTCCGCCTTTCAATTACCATAATAGGATTTCTCACCCTCAACAGTTACAGTGGGAATTAAGCCTCAGTGAGGTTGGGGGGCATCCCATCTACAGAAGCAGGCCTCATGGTAACCACAAAGCAAAAATCTATACTACACGAACAAAACAAAAACAGAAAGCATTAAAAAAAAATGCATCAAACTACAAAGGAAGAGAAGAAGAGAGCGAGAGAGGAAAAAGGAAAGTACCTACAATAACAACCAGACAATTAACAAAATGGCAGTAGTAAGTCCTTACCTGTCAACAATTACCTTGAATGTAAATGGATTAAATTTTCCTTATTAAGACAGTATATCTTCAAGTCCCTACTAACTCGAGTCCTTTTTGAATTTTAATAATTTTAGATTTTTACTCAAATAGCCATCCAAAGTTCTTACTAATCCCTGGGAAGACATATATATCTTCCCAGGGATTATATACATATATATATATATTTTTTTCAGGTGAGAAAACTGTAGTTCAATGTCCTGTAAAGCATAAAAACAAAACTACAAATTTAAAAGATCCATTTTCAGATGAATCAGTTGTAATATCACCTTTTTCATACATGGAATCATTAGACACTACTATAAACAACTATATACCAAAAAGTATGAAAATCTGGAGGAAATGGATAAATTTCTGGACACACACAAGCTCCCAAAACTGAGCCATGAAGACGTAGAAAATCTGAACAGACCAATAACAATAAAGGAGATTGAAGCTGTTATCAGAA